GCCACTCCAGCATATGTGGCTGAGGACACACTTAGTAAAATCATATAAAAGTTGCTCAAAAAGGAATCAAACAGTTACTTTACCAGTTCAGGATATCTGCTAGGAAGTGGAAGCTTGGTTATGAAGTGCTACAGCTTAGCCATTTAAAACCAATTCTTCTCTAGAAAAGGGGCAAATAGAACCCCAGAAATTAACGTTTATTTCTTCTACTATTTTCTTTCTTCTTACTATTTACAGTGAGACTAAAGATAAAGGCTGAAAAACGCTTTAAATAAGGCCATTATAATAGGGATGCTATACATTCTCTCTCTACAGATACACCAGTGATCTGACTGACGGTGACTTCCAGAACCTGGGAAGTCAGCTTGTAAAAGCAGTTCCATAGTGATACAGCTCTCCCTGTCCAGAGCTGCAGGGATCCAAACAGCACCCTCTAACCATGGATATAAAGGCCTGGTATCATGAAGCATCTCTCCTAGGGACCTGAGAGTGTTTGAAATTACTTACTAACCAGCTGCTGCTGTGTTTACAGAAGGTGGGTGCCAAATACATGTGTGCTTACAGCCACACACCCACTTTTGCAGAGAAAGAGCAAGCGCCTTGCACAGACTCACACCGGAGACACCTCTCCTTACTCTCGCACAAAGAAACTTTGACCTGTACTGTGTAACTAATGAGAAGGCACAGTCATGCCCTGAAGAGCCTCTACCATCAAGGACACACAAAAGAGAACAATGGTTTTTATAGCGCCAAAGCCAAATGAGAAATGTATGATACTCTTCTAGTTCCCTGGTACACCCTCCCTAGATATCAGCATCTTTAAAAATCTCTTTCAAGAAAGACAACTGAAAGCAACCAGGTATGCTTCTATTAAAGTTTGGGGGAGGGGAGGAACCCAAACAAATGTGCTAAAAAGAAGCTGTTGCTATTGTTATTTATCCAATTAATACAGATAAGAAAAAAAAATCTTAGATACTCTAGCTTTGAATTAAAAGAGAAAGTTCATATAAAATACTACTCTAAAAACAACTGAGAAGAAATGCAACTAATCTTTGTGCAGCAAATCTTATCAGTAGCAATTTTGTTTCCTTTTATTTCTCATGCTTGCTTGTCATCAGTTAGGCTAATGTATCACACTTGAAATAGGACTAGTCAACAAGCTAGAAAACATTTTGATTTTCATATGGTAATAAAGAGTGCTGTTACTTTATCTGTGTTCTATACTTGAGCTTACTACAGGAAATACTCTATTAATTTGCAAGCTAACCAATGTTCCCAGAAGTAAATTATAGAATATTTGAGCCTTAAACCCTGGAGCAAGTGGATGTAAAATCCTGTACAGACGTAAAAACATGCAGATCCAGCTACCACTTGCCTGTATTCGGCCTCTTTAAAGATACAAGACTGTTGGATCAAAGCCTGACATCTATGCTGGTGACTGTCAGTCCTCACTGACATCTGAGAAAGTGAATGCTAGTCTGGGAATGTAAATGGCGCCTCCAAATAACGCAGCACCTCTGAAGAACTGGATTGCAGTGCCAGAAATGGCAAGCAGCCCAATTCATCTTCTGGAGACTTAAAATAATGACAGTCTTCTGGTCATCCAAATACAGTCAAGCGAGCCATTCAGTAACAAAGAACACACTCTGAAGAGAATACTCTTGTGATGCAAAGCCAAGAAGAAATACTGAGAGACAAAAGTGTATGTGTGGGGAAGATCATGCCTTATGTTTCTGTAATAGTGTATATACTTACATATATTTATATGCAATATATATATATTTGTACCTGTTTACAGGAGGACATAGGGGTGGCACAGGCACTGTGATTTAAAAAGCAGACACAACCTGTTTTCTACAAAGCTGCTTCTCCAGTGCCGAATTTCATTCCAGCCAGTATGTGGATTTATTATTGCAACAGAGACCCACCACAAGACACATCTTTGCCTACCTGTGAGGTTTTTGCATCATGTCTCAAAGCCCAAAAATGTCACTGGAAAAACTTTCAGTGATTTCAGTGACTTTTAACTCGGCTCACAGAATAAATGTGAACTGAGGGTTGTAGGGTTCCAGTTAATCCTTATTACTGCAGTAATAATTATATAGAGTTTACATTTCAGACCAGATGGTTTGCTGAAGTGTTTGATGAATTCTTGTATTTACCACCCAATTTTGTAGCTAAAGAGCAGGAGCTGTGGGAATCCTTAACTTTTATAAGGTAAGCATATAAACTGAACCTATGAAACAGGTTTAGCTTTCAGCATTCAGTTTCCTTACAAGCACAAAAGTTGAGCTTGTGTGATAGCATGTGCCTATTTCTTTTACTCAGCAGGTTGAAAATAAAAGTGCTGTGCTAAAGAGGCACCAGTCTGAAAGCTGGTTCTGAGTAGCATCAGAACAGAGGTCCTGTTCCCAATGGCTGGCTTCCTACAGCCTCTGCTACCAAATTTTCCATTCCCAGAACAAAATGTCAGTATCACCCTTTTCAAATGACTGATAATACTTACAGCTACAACTACACAAATCTCTTGTTGCATTATACTATACAGTAGGATAAATCACTGATGAGTATTAAGGATGTGTATTACAGAACAGCATATATTAGCTGCATTTAGAGGTCCACTGAGATAATCTCCAAACAGATTTCAAAAGGTTTCCATTTACAACTGCCCAGAGAATACAATGCCTATACATGTATTACTTTGTTGCTAACATTTAAAATAAGCAGCAAAGAAGCTTCCACCATCCAGTGGTTTGGGAAGCCTGAGGCCTGGAAAGTGACTGAAACACCCCACGATGTCACACAGCACTTAAACTATGAAAATTTATGTATATAAAAATGACCTAAGGGGCCAGTGCAAAGTTTTATGCAACTTATTTTCCCAATACTTTTGTCTTAAATTTACAAATCTAAGTAATAGTGCTTTTTAATTTTGACAAAATTTTTCTTCCACTTGGTAGACCTCTCCTTGGCAGCACACTTTTCTTGCTGTAACCCAAATTTTCCAATTCTCAATCTCATGCCATTATTCCTACAACAATAGTTCTTCACCCTTGTAGTACCTAAGTAATTCATATTCCTCCTTAATGTTTAAAGTTTTCAAGTATTTTCAGATTTACTTCTGTTAGGCATCTCTCAGTCAAATTAATATATGTGTGTTTGCCCACTCTCCTTAAATAACCAAATAAGTCTGTTGGTTGCTTTTCCCATTTAGCTTTTTCTCTAACTTGGCAACCTCTAAATAAGGTGTTTGTACCACGCGCATGCTGAAAGTTCAAAATGAGTGTGAGAGGGGAAATAAACATTAACAAACATAGGTTTTTTTCAGCAGCTGCTGCAGTAAGGATGTTGATGAAGAAAGTGCGCCCAGGACTTAAATGATTAGGAGTTAACATGATCAGTTCTGATTATGCTTACTTCATAACTGAATAAAGACTGCCACCATGAAGTTCAACAAAAATTTGTATTCAGCCCTCAAATTCTTTAGCTGGAAGACAGTTCTGGATGCAGCACTGGCTTGGTAAGTGAGGCAACCTTCCCATAATGAAAACCCAGATAATGTCACTTGATATATGACGCTTATAAGGAACTTTGTATGATTGTTGGAGAAAGCTAACTTAGAAATATTTTTTACAGCTGTGAAGAATGGTTAGATATCACAAGCAAGCCAAATACATTATGAAACAACATCAGTGTTGTGTCACCCGTGCTAAGAAGGTTGAAAGGTTTGCCTTTGTAGATCATAACCGTATGTGCTTGAAAAAAAAATTAATTGCCATCATTACACATTTCTCATTATTAAAAAGCATTGTAGAATATATTAACACTTAGTATAAAACCAAACCACAGTTGCAATTTATTTTGTAACTTGACTTACAACCAAATCTATAAGTTTTGCCAAATAGTATAAAAAAAAGGAAGTATAGCACACACAGGTAACTTTATTTTGCTACTTGCCATTGTCACCTTTAATAGCACTATAAAAATATGAGCTGAGAGAAAACTTAGTCAGAGCATGATAGCAGAAAAGCTGCACTAATTTCAAGATTTACACCTATTAAAAATAGGAACTACCACCATAACTTTTTCTTTTTTTTTAATGTCTTATAAAATAGTTAAAGAGCTGCTTCTGTGAAAGAACTGGAAGAAATTTATTATAAAAAAGCCAAGGCATGTTAAACTAAATTAAACCACAAACTATTAGTCAGATGAAGCCAGCTATCAGAGGAAACAGTGACAAGTCCTGTCTTAGTAAGAGCATAGAAAATGTCCATTTTGGTAAGACTATAACCAAAGAAAACCTAATGGTTGTTCTAAGCAGTGGTGCATGCTGAATTTCTCATGGGACTACTGACATTCAGCAAATGTACCTGTGTTTGCAAGGCTCAGGTAAAGAATATTCTTGATCTTTTAAACTTTTTTGAGAATCCTGAAACAACCATATTTCCAGAGGGGATGGGGATTTATTGCCCTGCCCCTCTCTCTCTCCCTAAAGTGACATTTTACAACCACTTGTCCATCACTAGGTTAGGCTGAAAAGCAAATAGAGCCATATATTGTTCTACAGCCTCCTCATGATAGACTATTTGGGGGTTATTTTCCAGTGTTAAAAAAGTCTATAAAACAATTTTTGTGAAACTCAAAAGCACAGAGAGGAGATATATGAAGCACTATTATACCAAAGGCTTATTCACACTCACTGCAAAGGGCTGTGTAGCTATCTTTGCTATTTGCGTACAATATTTACATTTGACAAATTGAATATTCAGATCAAGCACCTCAGTTAACCACAACATTAAAACTCTGCTTCCAATTCATAATATAATATTCCTAAGTTAAATTAATTAAAAAACAAAAACATTTTTGACTGCTTACCCAGAGTGGTTTTGTAGGTTTTAAAGCATTCAGAAATTTTGCTAGGTGAACTATATCACCTTCTTCTGAATGATGAACCCAAAGTATTTGTTTAATTTTCAAAAGGAAAAAGAGTGTTCACTTACATGATTTCTTTTGTTTTCTCCATCTTTGATAGATGTAATAACTGTCTCAGAAAAAACTGTTGATCCAGTTTTGTTATCTGTAACCTGATATGGCAAAAGAACAAAATATTAAACTACATTTTTATTAGTTTTTTGTTACTCTCAGTCCTACATTCTGCAATAAATAACTCACACCCACTCCCTCCATTTTTTCCCATTTTGCTGTCACTCATATAAAATCCTAATCTGGGGAGGAAAGTAAATGACAAGTCTACCTCTTTATCTATTCAAAATGTCACTGTAATGAAGCTAACTGAGGGGGAGATGGTCAATCTTTTATGACCCATGTAATAGCTGTACCTGTGCTCTATTTTTAGCAGGCACTTTTTTCAAAACAAATTATTTCACATTAACCTTTTATGACATATGCCCCTACACAGTGATTAGGCAAGCAAATAAGATACAATAAACCCCCAAAGTAATTATTATCAGGAAAATTTATGCTCTGAATTATCTTATTTCTCCCCAAAATGTGAAAAATTGTTTTTGTTTTTGAAGAAAAGGTGTGTAAAAACCAGCAGCTTGCTATATGTTTTCTCATACCTTATCAATTTCTTGATGAGTCTGAACAGTTTTATTACCAATTCTGGTTTCCATGTTGGACTCATTATGGTAGTTGGGAGGTAAGTTTTCGAAGTTTACCTCTGACAGTTTTTTTGCCCCTTCCTCTTCAGCTTCCATCTGCCAAATTTAAATAAACCATCTGAAAATTAGCAACAATTACACAAAAGAGAACAAGCAATGCTTCTTGTGCAGCCCTCAGTAACACCCTAATTACGTGACGCTGTTAGTACAGATCCCCCTGTATGTGAATGCTTACTCAGCTGTTTCAGGCAGTGACCACAGCAGCTCTTTTAACAGACTAGAAAAACAGGGGTGAGCTAAATCCTTGAGCTCTGGACTGTTTAAGCCAAAGTCAGTCCCTGCAAGGAAAAAGTGTGTGAAGACTAGTGACAATTTGGCATCTGCACAGGCTGATGCTGGTCAAGAACCCACCTTTCTATTTTTCCCAGAAAACCACTATACCCTTAACACAGACTTTCTCATCTCACAAAGAAAAGAAAATATTCTGGCAGGACAGAGAGATATAGCCAAAGCCCCTTGAAGTCAACAGAAGCACTCCTACAGATCAGGGTGCATACATCCAGCATTTCATTGTCTGTTTCAGTTCCCACTGTGTTAGCCAGACAAAGACTCAACACAGAAAAGGTGTGCTCTCTGAATCAGAAAGCAGAGTAAGCTCAGCAAAAGGGTGAGTCTTGTAAACAACACAAACTCTGAATAAGTTGTGTCCCTTTGTTATTTGCAACTGCTGTAACAGAGCTGGGAGGCCACAAGTTCAGCCAGGCTGAACAACAGAATTTTTCTGAAGACAAAATTTCTCTTTCTGGTGTGTCTGTTTATTTTAAACAACAGCTGCAAACCTTGTTAAGTGTAAAGCATTTATCTGCTAAGACACAGCTCAGACAATCCACATTTTGTGCTGCATACAGACCATTCCTCAATCCAGAACTGACTATAGGGACAGTAAAACTAGCAGAAATTTTGACTACATCCTTATTTATAACTAAGCGTATTTTCGGCATTGTACAGAATACTTTAAAAACATGATTTGCCTCAATGTGTTTGCAGTCTAAATGAAGTGGATGACAAAGGTAGATTTCAGCAACTGTCCAGAGGACAGTAAAAGTTCAGAAATTATCTAATTATAGTAAACATCCCCAGTGGGTTGTCAGTAAAAGGGTTTTTCAGAGTATGTATTTTTGAATGAGAGGAAAAGAGAACTTGGAAGGAATCATAGAATATCCTGAGTTAGAAGGGACCCGTAAGGATCATCGAGTCCAACTCCTGGCTCCACACAGGACCAGCCGAATCAGAGCATATGACCGAGAGCGTTATCCAGATGTTTCTCGAACTCAGTCAAGCTCAGTGCTGTGATCACTTCCCTGGGGAGCCTGTTCCAGTGCCTGACGACCCTCTTGGTGAAGACCCTTTTCCTGATATCCAACCTAAACCTCCCCTGTTGCAGCTTCATTCTGTTCCCTCAGGTTCTATCACTGGTCACCAGAGGGAGGAGATCAGTGCCTGCCCCTTCGCTCCCCCTCGTGAGGAAGCTGTAGGCCGCAATGAGGTCTCCCCTCAGTCTCCTCTTCTCTAGGCTGAAAAAACCAAGGGACTTCAGCCTCTCCTCATACGTCTTACCCTCTAGACCCTCTCCTCATACATCTTACCCTCTAGGAAGATTCTAAACATGAGGGGGGGAAAGCTCAGAAGGGGAATGCAGGAGCAAGGTCTTTTGATAGCGATATGAAACAATGGGTTGGGGTCTAGACTCAGTGCCTGGCTTTGAAACAAGTCCTGTACAATTCTGGGCAAGCAGTTTGGGAGCAAGACAAGAAATTACATCAAAAGTAAGCCACTTCTCCACACGTATTTTCAGGACTGTCTTTACACCTTTGAATCCT